TTATCAACTACGTATTAATCGAATATATCACCTATTCAAAGTTGAAATATGGTTGATATATAGTCGATAAGACGTTAGATCAACGTTGAAACGACGTAATCATCGACGTTGTTTCAACGTCGTAGTTTTCGACGTCGGATTTTATTTCCAATTCAACCAAATTTCAACGTTGTTTCAACATGGTATATGGTCGGTTTGCGACGTTGTTTCAACGTTATTTCAACGTCATTGTGCCCACTGGGGATATTCCTCATAATAACTTTAAATAATGTAGTGCCACCTGTTTTACATATTATGTTAGGAGTTGTGTTAAAACTGTATAAGTTATAGTTGAAGGAGTGTAAGACTTTAAATTGTCAAGCTGATTCGTTTTTCTCGCATAATGAGAATGTGAGAACGAATGACTTGTGGGCTGCTAAAAGCGTTGAATGTTCTAAAACAGCAGAAACTTTGTATTTATTAGGAAATCAATTTGTAGACATGCAAATCTAAAGGCGCGATGGTTGGCTTTTAATAACAATTTTTTCGAATTAGAAAAAATATCCCTAACCTCCTCCAATAAAAAAACAACCTGTAAACAGCAAGAAATGTGTGCTAGTATCAGGTGTTTAATTACTAAATATGATTGTAACGTTGATTGGGTGCAGTGTGTTACGTGCCAAAAATGGTTTCATCAATTTTGTGAAAATATTGGTTATTCAGAAAAGAGTGCATTGTGTGACATAGACATGTACGAGTGTTTAGCGTGTCAGGGTGAAGATATAGAATGTCTTAACCTTTATATTTCTGAAAAAATTTCTTTTATACGTGCACAACGCGAAGTTTTAGACATTAAATATATTAAATTGCAGGTGGAGTGTGAAGACCTAGAAAAAATATCTAAAAGTAGCATGGGGACTCATGAGAGGTCTCTTAATAAGGCCCTTGAAGGTATGAAGGTTGAGCGACAAGCGTACCATGGTAATGTGTTTGTAGGTAATCATTGCAAAGTAGTCTTGAGAAACCACTATGAACTTTGTAGTGTTATTGATGATGAAGCTATTAAAAATAGATTTGTTGGTGTGTTTAGTGTTTTTAATAAGTTGCAACCTATTCTTTTTAAGCGAAAATTTCTTTCTGATGCCGAAGTTACTGAGCTTTATCAATATATAAATTTATTTGCTATCGAGTTTCATGATTGCTTTCCAAAAGAAAGTATCAAGCAAAAAATGCATGAATTCATTTTTTCATGTGCCACTATTTGTAAAATTGCATAAAACTATTGGGTTGCTGAGTGAAGAGGAGGGAAATAGTAGTGTAAATAAGAAATTAAGACAGTTGCATTCAGTAAGAAATCAGGAACAGAAGCTGCGTCTTGTTTTAAAACGCTTTGAATTGCACAGCAAAGCTGATAGGAAGCTACAAGCCTCAAAGGTGAGAAAGTGTGTTGTGTGTTCTGAACGAGGCAAATATTCTTTTTATAGAAAAGGCCTTTGTCTTGTTTGTGGTTATCAAATTTAGTTTAAATATTTTTTAAAAAATTGAAAAAAAATAAATAAAAAAAAGAGATCCTTGATTTATAAATTAAAGAATTTTATTTAAATTATTTGTTATATGTAATATTGCTTTTATATATTGTAATTCTCTACTTATCTTCAGAAGTTAATTCTACCTCAGGAAAACCTCCGCTCAGGTTAAAGAATGGAATATAAGTCTAGCATTAAATGGATATAAAAATATGGCATATTATTTTTATAACCTACGCACAGAGCATCTGGTATGTTTTTGTGTTTGATCTGGTATGTATGTGCAGTTTATTTGAAAAATTTATTGTACTTTTTTATATGTAACATTCGTCCATTCGATTATTATCATTAGAAGTTAATTCCACCTCTGTGGTATCACTGCTTTACCTCAATTCTTGTTAACGAATGGAATGTAATTCTCATATATATCAAATTGGTGTAAAAATATAATTTAAGAACTACAAGTTATTGTCACAGTTTTGAGTAACGCAACTGTTCTTCTGGTTTAAAATGAAGTATGAGTTTAGTATCAACTGTGTGTACAAAGATTTACTACTTAAAGAACTTATCAATGGACCAATTGCTATTTGTATATTTAAACACGCAAAAAAAAAATTAAAGTTGGCGTCTTTATTTATTAACATTATCACATTAACATAATAAAAAGTTTTTTAAAAGCTTAAGCTTTAAATTTTTAGGCTAAATATTCTAAAATGTTAATCTGCATTCATATAATGGAATCAATTTTCACGAACTAGTCATTTAACAGTTTATCCCTCTTTTAACGACATTTTTGTAATTTTGCGAAAATTCAATTTGCTTTACTGGCATAAAATAACATCTGTTTTAGTTAACCTTAAACATTTAGTAAGATTTTTTTATTTTTAAGTACAAGTAAGATTTTTTTATTTTTTATTATAGTCCATCAATGTGTACATTTAATAATAAATATCGAAAATATATTCTTTCTGAGTTTTTTTTTATAAAAAATAACATCAAATTACTAATATTTAGCCAAGTTCAACATTTCCCGCGTTTATTCTAAAATTAAAGAATTTTTTTAATATATCTGTGGAACGTCATCAAATAAAACATTTTATTGGTGTTTTTATTCTTTTTACAGAACAAAATTATCTATAATGTTTCAAAAGTTATATAAGTTTTAGTAACACCCTTACGTAAATATTTTCAAAAAATAACAAGAAGCCGTAAAGCTCGCTTGAAACAGCCATGGCTGGGATATTATCGATACTTGGACCTTAATTTTTAATGTTTTAATTGCTGTTTCAAATTCTTCGTATTCTAGTTTTTTGAAAACTAGGGAGCAACGAGAGTCTTCGATGTAATTCTTAAATAAACTGTTTGTAGGTTGAATTTTAGAGGCGAGTTTAAAACCTATACTTGCGAAGTATTTGTTAAATTTTTCAGAGATAATTTTTTTATTATTAAACTCTTTTTCACTTATGAGAACTTTTGGAGGTAGTTGGTTCGAGTTTATTTTTATTTTTACCGATTATTTCTTTTATAATATCTCAGATTTTTTTATTATCTCCTTTAAATATTTGGATTTGCTTTAAAAAATAAAGTTTTTTGGATTTTAATTTTATTTTTTTAAATAGATTTTTATATTGTTTATACTTAGACAAACTAATGTTGTTTCTTTTTTTAGATATTTTATGTAGAAATTTTGTTTTTGTTTTGACGATTTTCTTATTAATCTTATAAAAGTTCAGGTTCAAAATTATTGAAAACTTTTTTAGAAAAAATTATTATAGATAAACAATTACCAAAATAACTTTAATGTAAATAATAAAAATAAATATTGCAAATTTATTTATTTTTGCTATTTATTAAGATCAATGCTGATACATTGCAAAAAAACAGACTTTTGTATGACAATGGTTTTTAAATGATGTCTCTCCCTTTAAAAACCATCCTTATACAAATATCAAGTAGCGAGCAATATATCAAAATAATATAAATGGCAAAATAATATAAATTTTTTACTTGCGTAATTCTATTAACGCGCGCATAAACGTGTATGCTTGCATTGTACGCGTCAAAGCTATGCACGAAAATTATTTTTAATAAAAAAACGAAATCCTTTAAACTTAAAAAATACTAATTCAAAATACAACATGATTTTTGTTACGATAGCAACATGATTATTTGCAATCTTTGTAAAATTTTGTTAAATTAATATCGCTTGATTAAATTTTCATCGTTAATTATCCTGAATTACAAAAATGTCCTATTGGGGCCCATATGGGTTTGCCCAAGTTGGCCCTATGTGAGCTTTATATAGGGGCCCAAAATGGGCCCCATGTGGGCTAGTCCTTGAATACAAAATTTTGTATTCAAGGGCTAGCCGATATGAGGCCTATTTAGGTCCCATATATGAAGTTAAAATATTGTTAAATTCCATCTTATTTTATAAACTTAAATGCCATCCGATCGTGCGCGCGATGGTATAAGGTATTCCGCTAGGCAATTAGCTGGAGGAGTAAAAAAAAGCTTTTCTTAAATTTTAAATCAAGTTCAAACTAACTCTCTTTCGAAAAATCTTCTTTTTATTTAAAGTCAAATCATTTTAAAGACTCTGTAAAAGTGCCTAATAAAATAAGTTTTGAATTGTATTTGAAATTTTTTTTTTTTATGTATAAAAAGTTTTGAAAAGTGTATACGCTTCCTAAAATCACTTTACTCTTGGTACGTAGAGTGGGTTATGACTCTCCTTGGGGAGCCGAACTTGTCTTTGCGGGCCTTGGTAATGTGGGCTTTATATGGCAACCAGGTGGAGGAGAATAAACCACAATACCAAAAAATGTTTGAATTTACTTATTTATATAAGACTATTACTTTTGCTATTTTATAATTTAAATACTGTGGTTTATTTATAAATGTTTATTACTGATTACCTTATTCTTTCAACGTTTGATTTTCTGTTTTACTTCTATAATGCTAGACTCACGTGACATATTTATGACTACATATTAAATTATACGTATCTAATTAAAAAATAAATAAATAATTATTCAAAGTATTAAAATAAATTTAAACAAATAAAAAAGTGGGACCCATGTGGGTCCCAAATATGCAACCCATATGGGTTGCCCATTTATTTAAATTAAGCAAATGCAGTCTAAATGCAACTAATTCCTAGCCAGCAAGTCATATTGGGGCCCAAGTGGGCAGCTTTATGGGTCCCAAATGGGTTGTCCACATCCCGCCCAAGTAAAATTGTTGCTTGGCGTGAATTGGAGCCATGAATTGGAGTGAGTCATTGAATTGAATGAATTGAATGAGTTGGAGTGAGTCAGTGAATTGGAGCAAGACTTTATGCAGTGTAATACATTTACAATATTTTGTTTGACTGTTTGGGTAGGTTCTGAAAGTTTCTACAAATTTTGTAGAAACTTTCAGAACCTACCCAAACAGTCAAACAAAATTTTGTAGATGTATTACACTGCACAATTATTCTAAATATTTTGCGTAAAAATTTATGTGTCATTATTAAAAAAACTTCATAAGCATATAGTAACAATAAAAGTTTATGCTGAACCTTTTAAAATAAACTTGTCTGTCAAACAATCACGAATTATCCATTTCCCATTAATTTCAAAGCCTTCTGTTAATTTAATAAAACTACCAACATACTCTACAGCATGTTTCCCAATATACTGTTTTTTAAAAGAAATATTTCCATCATTGTCATATATTCCAGCCATTGTAAAATGACCGGTTTTGTCACTACCTTGACCAGAAACATTACCTTTGCTCATTCTAAAAAATTCAAATACCATTTCATGTGGCTTATTATACTGGTAGTATAATCCCTTTACACTTCCACCTTCAAATATAGTTTTTACTTCAGATTTTTGAACTATACCAATGGGCTCCTTTTTTAAAATGCTATCAATTTCTTTGACAAAACTATCAACCATTGTTTCAAATTGGTCTGTATTTTTTAAATCAATTTTGTTTAAAGAAGTAATAATCTGACCGAGCCAAGTGTCCTCAAAATTTTTAATATCTTCCAGAAGTACAGGAAGTATTGGTTTATTTAATTGAGTGGCGTAAGTTAACTCCTTTTGACAATTGACACTTTTACTGTATGCTGTAGTATTAAAGCTCAAAACTAATGCAGCATTTTCAACGCCGTTCGCCATAGCAGCATTTATGTTTCCTTTCATATCACCTGCAATATCAAACCATATAGGTATATTTCTTTCTTTTAGAATATTGGCAACACGTTTAACTATTTCTTGGTTATTCCATTGGTAACTCAACATAACATGAAAGCCTTTAGGGACTGATGTTTGCGTGCGTGAGACCTCAATATGAAAAGGATCGCTTAAATGATTAATCATCCAGTGTCCATCTAAAGAATATTCTGTTTCAGTTTTCTTCATTATCCCTGAGTAATGAACATCGTGTTTCCCAATATAATGTTTTTTAAATGTAAATGAGCTGCTTCCGTTAGCGTCTGAAGCATCGTCATTGTACTCACCATGAATTACAAAGCTTCCAGTTTTATCATCTCCTTGACCTGCAATACGTCCTTCAATAAATGCAAGCATATCAAAGCTCATTTCAAATTTTTTACCGTTTTGAACATAATAACCTGTTGCTTTTCCAGAAACATCAACTGAACTTCTGTGACCTTGATCATCCTCGGCGTCTTTTAAATATGGTTGCATTTGTTCAATTAAATTAATTGTTCTTGTTTCAATCTCTTCAAAATTGGTTAATTGTGTCCATAAAGCACCAGCACATATAACCCCGAGCCACCCACTTTGATTATAAGGATGTGGTTGTGCTTTTACAGGTACTATTGGAATTCCAACTTGATCTACGTAAGAAAGAAATTGTTTGAGTTCAGTAGATTCCTCGTAACTTAAGCTCATAAAAGGAACTACAACTCTTGCCTCTTTGGCGGCAAGTTTGATCATTTTATGTTTGTCATGAATCTCATAAGTTATTTGAATTCCATGTTTATCTAACTTTTTGCTCACCAACTCAGCAATATTTTTTTGGTTATTTGCAAATGACAACATTACTTTTTTTTTATGACTTGTAAATTTGTTTGCTTCGCTGTCATTTTTTTGATGAATTTTTATATTTGGAAATAAACTCATGATAAAATCTCCATATAATTTATTAATAGTCCATAATCCGGTTACCTCGTACTCATCTCCTTTACGGACAATATTTCCATTGTAAAAAACCGTATGTTTACCGAGGTATTTTTTTTCCATTTTTAAAACTCCTTTGTGATTTTTGATAGTATAAGTACCTGCAACAGTGAACGAACCAATAACATCATCACCTTGACCAAGCACTTTGCCGTTATGTAACTCTAAAAACTAATGAAAACAAATTCTTTAACAAAATGCTAAAATCCAATCTCTATTTTTATTTATATTAATTTTTATTTATTTTTAGTTTGTTTACATACTATTTTAAGATTTAGTTATTGACAGTTTTAAAAGAGTTATTAAGTAAAATCATCTTTTGTTTTCTAATATATTATAAATAACAGTTTATCTTTAGGTGAGTTTCCACTCATTTGTTTTTTCACGGGAACGGGAAAAGGAAAGGAAAAAATAGTAACGTGGGCATGCGTATTATAAGTTTTAATTTGCCTAAAGTAAAACTACGCATGCTCGCGTGATTATTTTTCCCTTTCCTATCCCGTTCCCATAGAAAAACAGATGAGTAGAAACTCACCTTTACGCTGCGATGCACTGATTCTAACTTAGTATGCAGATTTAGATTGGTACACATTGAATTGAAACTTAATGCTAAATTTAAAATACAACATTCCGTGAATAATGTTGTAAAATATTTTCTATCAATTGTTAGACTAGACTCTGACATATTGATCCACCAAACATCCTAACAACCTCATTGTAGGCGCATTCAACGTAAAATAGACTCGTTTGCTATAGTTTCTTAAATAGCCACGTCGCTAATCCACAAACGCGCTACCAAACGAAGTTGTTAGTGCTATCACTGTCAACCTCTTCAAAGTAAAACTTGATCAGCTACCATAATTACTACAGCGCATCATCTTCCGCGCAATTTTGCACGAGCTAGCACGGCTAGCTGTTGATGGGTTTACTGAACAAACCCGTTCTGTGTAATTTAATCTAATTAACTAACTTTAATTTCAAAAAAATTAATAAACAAGGTTTATATTAACCCAAATAGACATGGTTCAGAGGTTTTTATTTTTGTGGCACTGTATAATAAATACATTACTATATCAATAATGTTTGCAGACGATACCAATCAATTTCTCACCAATAATGAATTAAAACATTTATATACATTAATGAATACGATATGAATACGACGTTATCTAAAGTAAATATTTGGTTTAGGGAAAACAAACTTTCACTTATTGTTGAGAAAACAAACTGTTTTATAAAAGTATACAAGAGTAAAACATTTTACTTAAGCTGCCCGAACACTTCTTAAATGATAAAACAATTAAAAAACAAGTAAGCATAAAATTCTTAAAAGTTTTTGTCGATGAAAGCTTATCCTGGCTTACCCAGATAAATTATATCCAGTCTAACATTACCAAAACGATTGGTGTTATGTATTGAGTTCACCCATACCTCAATATGTTAAGTCTTAAATCGATGCATTTTGGACTATTACACTGTTCCATATATTATGGAAACATATCATCAGCAACCAACAAAACTCCAAAAAATTTATAGGCTTCAAAAACACGCTTGCCGAATAATATTCTCTAAACACAAACAAGAACATGTAAAACCACTTATGAAAGATATGAAATAATGGATATATTTAATAATGGTGAAGTCCTTAAGTTCGTTTAAGTTTCAAACAAAAAAAGAAATTTTTAAAATGTGATCATAAGAAAAAATTACATTTTTAGTATTTTTTTGACTATTTTACCGGTTATTTTTTCTTTGTTTGACAATATTTTTTGTTTTCTGTTTGTTTATTTTTTGTTTTATTGTTTTGACTATTTTAAATTTAAAATACAACATTCTGTGAATAATGTTGTAAATATTTTCTATCAATTGTTGAGAATTGTTGAGAATCAATTGTTGAACTTTATACCATTACAATCAGCAGCGGCGCTGGGAAATCCTGGAATTAGTTTGCTTTGCCCCTTTATGTTAAAAAATAACTTATAAAAACAAACCTTGTTTTGACCGAATCTCCAGGCTTGAAATTTTATTGAGCACTACATTCTATAGGAAGTTATAAATACAAGTCAGAGCTGCTATTCTTAATTATTTCAAACATATTTACGTTACGCCTCAGAGCCAGTAAACAATAATAAACAATATTTAAATTTTATGTTAACAGAAACAGTTAGAATAAGATTGTTATTTAGAAAATAATATTCAAAGTTGAAGTAACGTAATACCGATGATAAAACTGACAAATCAACATATTTTCGTCCAGCAAAGAAAATTAAAATATGTAAAAATATCATAAATTATAATTTAGATATAATATTTAATTTTTTTAGTATATTTCTGAGAGGCCCCTTCAAGCGCGAGGCCGTCAGCAGTCGCCGACGTTGCCGACGCTTAACGCCGCCACTGATTACGATATAGTATTTAAGTCTTATAAATAATAAATGATATATTAGAAAAGGGGCTTTATAAAAAATTGTGACTATGTAATGTTTTCCGTAACTTCTTTGAGACCCTCTCTATTTTAACTTTATTTTAATTATTATGTTACTTTCAGTATTTATTTATGTATTCCCTTCTATTGTGCATGTATTTAAACGTTCATCGTAAAAATAATATTTATACCATGTTAAACAGTAAAAAAAAATACTACTGATGATGTCTTACTTAATCAGTCTAATAGAGTTGATTCAAATGAAGTTAGACAAGATAATTTTGACTTACTTTATTTTTCAGAAATTTTAAAACCTCAATTAGCTATAGAAAAGACGAATTAAATAATTTGATTTGAATTAAATTAAAGACGCGTCAAAAAAAAAACCAGGGAAAATGTTGTTCTTTTCAAACTTTTATAAAGGTTTTTTTAAAATGAATTAAGAAATGTAATTGCCTTAAATTGATTATGTACGAAAATGTTCAGAATTTTCTTTTTTTACACGATTAATAAACAGTCAACGCTTTTAACAAGAAAAAGCGAGAGAAAACAAATGTGTTATTACGAAATATTTGGTAAGCAAAAGCAAAAGTTCTACATTAATTGACTGATGGTAGAACTTCCGATTCACGATCAAAAGGTTTGAGAATCAAATCCATCTTACTTTGTCCTAATATTATACTAATCTACCCATCTACATACTGCAAATCAACCCACGCCTTTGAAAGTAACGCGCTCAACCTGTTTCTTCGCACACTGGCCTTGTTTAACATAGCAAAGGGGTTGTCCATTAATTACGTCAACAAAATAGGGGGGAGGGAGGTCTGAACTTTTTGACTATTGTTGACATGGGGGAAGAGGGAAGTTATTTAAAGTTGACGTCAACAATTTTTCTTTTCTTTTTTTGCTTAAATAACGGAAAATTGGGCTGAGTTTGTAGCGTATTTTCTTTGTAGAGGTGGGGGGGGGGGGGAGGTAATCGAAAGTTGACGTAATTTTACAGGGGTAGGGGGTCTCTGGAAATTTGATAAATTGTTGACAAGGGGGAAGAGGGAGGTAAAAGTTTCAAAAAATTTGTTGACATAATTAATGGACAGCCCCAAACATGTTTCATAAAGTGTGTTTCATCGTGTTTCATTGTGTTTAAAGTTCGTGTTTTGGAGTTTAGGGTTGAGCAAGAGTTTCAAACAAATAAATAAATAAAAAAGTAAATAAAAAGTTACATTATTATAAATTATTTACAATTTTACAATATGCCTTCTCGACTATTTGTTTTTGGTTCCTTGGGGTGGTGAATTTAATTTTAAAAAAAATTTTGCTTAAAGTAATTTTTAATTATTTTTATTTTATCTGTAAGTATGTATATGTAACTATTTTATTTGTTAATATGAATATGTAAATTTATTTTCTTTTATGATTATTTTGTAATAATAAACTCTAATTATCTGAAATAAAATTTAAATATTTAGGGTTCAGTTTTATACATTTAAAGAACCTGCAAGATACCTGCAGAAGCCGAGCAGAGTAAACCACTACCAAGTTAAAAACAACACTCAGCTCACTTTAGTATTTATTTTAGCCATATATTTAACTTCTGTATTTATGGTATTTTCACATAATATTATTTTATATAATAAGTTTATAAAAAATCTTTTTCAGAATGAATTTATGTCTCTGTGAAGAAAGCAATAGGAGACATTTAATTTTTTTTTAATATTAATTTTTTTATGCTTTTTATTTTTTAAATACTTTCATTAAGGTTCCAGTTCTAGAACGAGAGTAATTATAATATCAGGAAGTTAAGCGAGGACCCTTTGGTACGTGGCAGATGGGCCAAACTGATAAGAAAGAGACGGCCAAGATTGCAAAAAAAAAAAAAAATTAATATACATTACTTAACTTTTACTGCAAAAAGTGGATCTTTTTCGAAGAAATATTTAACTCATATTGAAATAAAAAATGGAACAGGAATTACAATGGCAACTGTGACCCTAAAAATACTCAAAAAATACAACAGTATTAGTAGTTTGGAAGCCATTGATCTTGATAATACTTCTGCTACTAATAGTGCAGATAATGTCTTAGTTGTGACATTAAAAAGGCTTTTAAACCAACGAATCTATTTAACAGGATGTGTACTTCACCAAATTGAGTTACCACTTTGCCATGTTATAGCTGAAGTAAATGGCAAAAATAACAATCCGAAGAAACATAAGGGCCCTTTTGCTCAAAAAGCTTATGCAGGTTATTGGCATGATTTTTTTCTATTCATTCAGAAATTAACTCTCAGGCAAACTCTAATATTTCATTCATTCAGAAATTAACTCTCAGGCAAACTCTAATATTTTATTCATTCAGAAATTAACTCTCAGGCAAACTCTAATATTTCATTCATTCAGAAATTAACTCTCAGGCAAACTCTAATATTTTATTCATTCAGAAACTAACTCTCAGGCAAACTCTAATATTTTATTCATTCAGAAATTAACTCTCAGGCAAGCTCTAATATTTTATTCATTCAGAAATTAACTCTCAGGCAAACTCTAATATTTCATTCATTCAGAAATTAACTCTCAGGCAAACTCTAATATTTCATTCATTCAGAAATTAACTCTCAGGCAAACTCTAATATTTTATTCATTCAGAAATTAACTCTCAGGCAAACTCTAATATTTTATTCATTCAGAAATTAACTCTCAGGCAAACTCTAATATTTTATTCATTCAGAAATTAACTCTCAGGCAAA